CTCTCTCTCTCTCTCTCTCTCTCTCTCTCCAGACACAGTGCGCACTGGACAGCTCGGGAAGTCTCGAGAGAGAGCAAGTGCTGGCCAAAAGTCAGTTGTCTTCCCCCGTGGAAGACCTCACTGAGCACTCCTCTGAGCACACACTCACTCACTCACATTGCAAACAGGTTTGCAGGCCTTTTATATTTGTAGCTGGCTCTATTAGTTTAATTCATATATACACATATCACTGAAAAACTTCCTCCTCCCCCTCCTCCTTAATCACTAAGCCCCATGTTTTTGAGAAGCTGGGCAATGTACACCTTGTCGTAGTGGGTGAAGCTCTTGTTATTGATGATAGTTTTGGCCTCCTGCGGCGCCGTCAGCAGGCTCATCTCCAGGCAGCGCGTTTGCAGAGAAGACTCACTCGCTCGATCGTATTTCAACGCCCGAAAGAGAAATTTTGCGCATCTCTCCACCAGGCTCCTCTCGATGAAGACGTCCGCAATCGAGCCGATGTCGGCGAGGGGCTCCTCTCCAGCCACCAGCGTCTTCGCGAACTCGCTCGCCTCTTCGGGGCTTCTGCCGACGACCTTCCGGAGGAGGGCAATGTAGTCCGGGGCGAAGCCGACCTTGTTCGCGTAGAGGATGATCTCCTCAAACTGGCCCGTCTCCGCGTAGGACTGAATGACCTTGTTGGGCACGTTGGCGCGCAGGTAGACGGAGAGGGCGAGCGTGGGGTTGATCACCTTGACGATGTCCCCCAGCTCCTCGCTGCACTCCAGCTTGTCGTTTTTCAGCCACTTCTTCAGCAGCTGCTTGCGGTTCTGCTGAAGGACGGGCTTGCACAGCTCCAGCGACTCGTGCTTGTTCAGCTTGCCCTGATCGAGGAGAATGGCAAAGTAGTGGAAGAGGTGGGAGACCTGGCCGGCCGCCGTGGGAATCGACTGGAAGCGCTGAATGGTAGCGGGCGTGCGGAGGATGCCCTGTGGGGCGCTGGCGGCCACCTTCGCCGCCTCAATGTACTGGTCCGAGTTGAAGAGGTTGTTGAACTTGAGGATGAAAAGGTCGTCGGCGCCGGAAAGGTTGTGGCGCAAAGCAATGCGCATCGTCCGTTCCGAGTTCAGCGTCCCCTGGATGTAGGGAATAAGGTTGGTCTTGTCGACGCTCACCGAGAGCACCTGAAGGGGGAAAGTGGAAAAATTAGTAAACAATTGTAAGCAAAACAATAAATTTCTCGTACCTGGCCCTTGCGATTGACGCCGATGATGCCACTGTTGGCCTCGTAGGGCGCGGTGACGAAGATGGTGTCGGTGCTGATGCGCTCCATGTAGATGCAGGTGCCCGACTCGATGTCGTAGAGGTGAATGTAGCCGTACTTGGTGACCAGGTAGATGATGTCGAACTTGGTGGACATCTGCATGGCCACGGGAAAGTCGTTCTTCGCCTCGGGCGGAAAAAAGACGTCCACCAGCTTCTCAGTGTAGGCCTGGTTGCCGGTGGGCACCGTGCCCAACTCGATGATGCGCAGCTTTCCGTTGGTGGGGGGGTTGGTGGGGGAGCGCATCGCAAAGCTGAAGAGATTGGACGGCTCGGGGTTGCCCTCCATCTTGAAGAGGGCAAAGGAGGCGGCGTGGCCCACGATCGGCTGGCTCTCCCTGCGGTCCACCGAGTAGAGCTGCATGGCGCCGGTGACGCGGTTGTTCTGTGAGGAAAGAGAAAGAGAAAGGGAAGTAAGCATTAGTGCTCATTATCAGATCGTGACAACAAAAGTGGTGCACAAAGTAGTACTGTACCTGGGCGGCGATGCCGATGAGCACCAACCACTTTAGCTGGTGGTCGGCGCGGTAGTTGATGATCTGGCAGCCGTTGAGGTTGGCGTGGCGCTTGAAGATCTTGGTCGGCGTCGAGTCGCCCTCCATCGACCAGTGGAAGACGGCCTTCTCGGTGACCAGGGCAATGGTCTTGACGTTGATCCACTTCCAGAAGACAACGTCCTCCGTCATATTGTGCGTCTTCCACGTCAAGTCAATCTGGTAGAGGGAGGTCTTCAGCGTGAGGGTGTCTTTCAGCCACAGGGCGATCAGCTTCGCCGTGGGGTTCATGATGACGGAGTCGGCGCTGATCGGCAGGCGGANGATCAGCGTCTGCGGGTTGGCCATGTCGATGATCACCACCTGGGCGGTCTCCTCTTGCTTCTCGCGGATGCAGATGAACTGGTCGCTCTCCATGGTGAGCGTGTAGGAGCTGATGCTCGACTGGTTGATCCCAATTTGGGTCAGCTAAGGAAAGGAGAAAGAGAGAAAGAGAAGAGGAAAAGTTAAAGATTTAGAAACTAGAGCAATACACCTCAAATAGAAACAACACATACCTGGAGATGCTCCTGAAACTTGATGGGCGAAATCTGCGACATCTTGACGGACTGGGCGGACTGGTGTGGGTGCTTGTCGCGAAGATGTCGGCGGCGGCGGCGGCGGTGTTGGTTGGTGTAGGGGATGAAGGGAATGGGGTGGGGGAGTTGAAGAAGAAGAAGAAGAAA